AAAGTTGCTTTGCCTTAATGACAGGACAAGTATAACACAGATGTCAATGTCTGTCTGTCTGTCTCTCTTGTAGCCAAGCTTATTTATTAAAGGTATGATAGTGTAACGCTTTTCAAGATTTCTTTCACATTAAAACTGTTGCTTAATCAATAAAAATAAACAACTTTATCAAAGTCTATTTTGTGTATTACGTAGGCCCAAGTGACTTAACAAACAGTGAAAAAGCACAGCTTAAGATTCTCTCTCTCTCTCTCTCTCTCTCTCTCTCTCTCTCTCTCTCTCTCTCTCTCTCTCTCTCTCTCTCTCTCTCTCTCTCTCTCTCTCTCTCTCTCTCTCTCTAAATTTGAGCTTATGGGCTAAGATTCTATCAGCCTGGATAGATCTAGGTGCCACTGCTGTTAATGTATATATGGTAAAATGGTGCGAATCTCAAAAATAGTTATGACCCAGGAGCCCTATCCACTGGGAATTAAACAATGACCCTTGGACAAATGTCGGATAGATGTATATATTTGTCTTTGCATTCCCATTAAGTATTCATCAAGTTATAGGGTGCAGATCATAATGGTTCTTTCCTAAGACTTTGAATAGTGACCAGTTTTGGTCAGTGTATGTATGGTTATCTAGCAGGGATCTCAGTCGTTTCAATCTTCTGCCCAGAACTCATTTCCATCGGTGTGGGTGGGTTATAGAAGAAAAAAAAAAAAAACGTTACTGGAGTCCCAGTTAAGCATGTACTGCCATCTGGCTCATTGATCAAGCATGCCAATTCTCAGAAATGTAAAGAAAAACGGCTCTGATGGTATCTGAAAGATATTCATAATCAACCAAATACTCAGCGCACTATATCACGTGATCACAATTCCTAAAATGGTGGTACAGCATACACCCATATGACTGATAGTTCAGACATGTAGTAAACACCATACGATTAAAACTGAATGAAAGTAGGGGTAAATTAATAAGGTAAAAACAACATTGAAGTATGACAGTGAGCTCGCGGTAACACGATTTTAATGTGGTTGTAACCTACAAATCCTTCCAGGTATTATATTTCATGAGTATAATTCACCAAGACATGCAATTAAAAACAAATTTGCAAAAAATTCAACAAAAGTCCTAATTTAGGACATCTACCCAACCCACATCCCTTTGCAAACTTGTAACAGATTGTTACTATAATTAGCACTATTAAAGTTAATTACTATATACCATCGTGTGTTTGTGATGGGTGAATATAGAGACCGTGGAGATTAAACGAGATCCTGTCATAGAATTTTAAGCTGAAACTTAGTTCCACTGTATGAATTTTAAGATCTAACAAAACGTAACTAGAGTAAAAACGTTATAATTCTTGGTTTGTTCTAAATCTTGAACCAAGGTGGAGAGCGATAGTACGTTGCCAGAACCTTCCGGACGATTAATAAAAAGTATGTTCAACAAACTAAAAACGTTGACGCAGACGCCACTACTACGACATCGCTATCCTTCGATCTAAAATTCAGATGCTTAGAGCCCTAGACCATATTGGAGCTGAAGATAAATTCCTTTCACGCCAATAATAATAAATGTCATGCCTACTTAAGTTGATTGCAAGCAGTAGTTTGAAAGAATATTCAATACATCTTCTGTCCTTTTGAGAAGGGACCCGCGATAACTCACATGTTTATGGTCATCAGATGGTCCAGTTTATGGTCAGCAGATTTAAATATGTGTTACTGCAATAATTTCTCCAGAACAAATATGTTGTATTGGAATTGATACTGTAGATCATATTATTAACAATCGTGATATGATTCCTTTTATTGAAATGAACAAGCGAAACATTATATTTTTATAAGATATAAAAAAAAAACCTTTTGACGGAGCAAGTATGATTGTATTATATTGCTTTACAAAAGTTTGGATTTGGCAAAAATTAATATTAATGGGATTAAACTTTGGCCTAAGTGTATAGAGCTTGGCGCTCAGCATTAAGAGCTTAGTGTTAGGACTGGTCGGCCTGATGTCAGGATATTGTGAATGGGTGGGACATGATGCTAGATGTCTGTTGCATGACGCCTCAGTACTAGACATTACTATAAACTGCCACACTACATATAACTTAGTGATATGACTGAAATTGTTAGAACCACGTTAAAAATAAAAATCACATACACACACACTGCTATGAAAAACAATGTCAAAAAGGTAATGGGTATTTTACAAGATAACAGTAGCCTAAAAACCGATCAAGCAACAACCCGTACCTCCCCCCGGGGACGGGGAAGCGACATAATCCCATACAAAATGCGAAATTTTACTGGCAGGACCCCAGAATTAAGTTTTGCGAAGGCGTTTTTGGGTTGATCGGAATTTCTTAAAACGCTACTGCAAAATACATTCCCGTTCCGAACTCGGTTAGTGTGCCCAATTTCAGCAATGCGGTATGTTTTGGCAGCAGAACCTCTTGGCATCATTGAGGACCAAAAATGGTGTTGTAATACCATTCTCTATGCCATACACATCTTCAATGGATGTCAACATGCAGATGACGTTACTCTAATGATTGGTGATACAAAATTAATTGCATGAGACTGAAAATACACAAGAGTCTTAGACTGTCAGGAGTGAGACCGAAATATTGTCTGTGCGCGCTGGAATTATTTCCATGGAAGCAAGTTATTTCTGAATGTCATATGCCTAAAAGCAATTTTAGTATTACTAGTAGATGTTGGGAAAAAATGAAATGTTGTTATGATGGATTTCACTATAGTGGTAAGATTCAAGTGTTCAACTATTTTGCCATGCTAGAGACGAATATATTTGAATATTGAGGGTGGAGCTGTTTTGAAAATTCAGGGTGGAGCTAATGTCTTGAATATTCAGGGTGGAGATAGTCTTTCAGAATATTCAGGGTGGAGATAGTGTTTCTAAATATTCAGGGTGGAGCTAATGTTTTGAATATTCAGGGTGGAGTTAGTGTTTTGAATATTCAGGGTGGAGCTAGTGTTTTGAATATTCAGAGTGGAACTAGTGTTTCTGAATATTCAGGATGGAGCTAATGTTTAGATTTGTCTTGTCTTATCGGGAATAGTTATAAACTGCCTGTGCCGGGCAGTTTTATCTTGGCGGAGGGGGAGTAGAACTCGCTCCGTTCGGTATTAAATCATTAATCCTGAAGTTCAAAGGCGGATTTACATAATGTTGATCAAGAAGGTGACACAACGTATTCAAAGTCAAATACAGGTGCATGTGATACATCAGAAGTTTCTACCAACATGTATTGATTGACAAGCAGTGTATAACCAGCCATTACAAACAGGATTTGATCGACAATAAGTGTATATCCAGTTATTACAAACAGGCATTGATCGACAAGCAGTGTATAACCAGCCATTACAAACAGGTATTGATCTACTATCAGTGTATAAACAGCCATTATTCAGAAATTCAAACATCTGTGGTGATAGCAAGGTGTTATACTTAAGAACTCACCGATACGCAGGGGTCGTTTCATTAGAGATCTCACTCATAGACAGGGTATTTACTAATCTGTACAACCATAAAAGAAATCACTGTAGATGCATTACCATATAGGAAAGAAGAAATTGTCAAGAAAATGTATAAAATTATATTGCACATCTTGCCGGTTGAAAATTAATATCATATTTGAAAAAATGTAAACTATAAAATATTTATAACAATGAATATAAAAATGTGAATGATTGCAGATTAAAAAATAAGTGACATCTCTGAGAGTATTTTTCAATCGAATAAAGTATTCTTAACTGAATAGGTGACAAAACTCACTATAAATTATCTATTCTGAGATATTTTCTGAAAGATACAATATTGTTTTTTTTTTCTGTACAAAGTATGAAAATGTTGTGTATATTTATTGTTAGTGATTTAAACAAAAGATGCAAAAGAACGCTTGAGTAGTAATTTAAATGTCTTAATCGAAGACCAGCCTAGGCTGCCATGAACTACCATTTCCTCGACATGCCTTAAATTTTCTAAAAAGAGATGCATCGTAATTTTCAGAAAAACAGTTGCCACAGAGAAATGTCAGCGTACTTTCGCTTTGGTCTTTTTAGAAACTATTTTCCATGTTTAACTAATCCATCCATTGGTAAGGAATAGTGGATTTTGTATACGACTTGGAGAAAGTCAACATTGCACATACTGCTTGCAAATGAAATGGTCATAGTGGCTTAAACTACGTAACAAGAATAGGTAAAAACTCTACAAGTATTCTATACTGCAAAAGATAAGCTTATACCCCTAAAATATAAAGTCAAACAAAATGAAAGAACTAAAAATGACTTCAATATGGTATGAATTCATAGAATTTCGTAAATGTACTATTAATTTCATAGTAATCCGGTAATGTATTCCAAATAAAAGTTCTAATTTGAATATGTGTTAGCACCACAAAAGAATCAATATTCTAATATCCAAAGATTTTACTTGAACGATAAATCCAATGAATAATGAAATTAATAAATATTCAGATTCTCAAATAATTTCACTATAATCCAGTAAGATTCTTATCACTCACAAGAAAAATAACTATAGAATAAGAAAGCGATGCTATAATTCCTTTATATAGTAACCTGGTGCGCATTATATATATATATATATATATATATATATATATATATATATATATATATATATATATATATATATATATATATATATATATATATATGTAAACACCAAAATACATGTCTGATATTTCTCTACGTTTACAGATTAAATGTTCGGTGTGTGTGATTTTTGTGATTTAGATTTTTAACGTAGCTTTTATTTTTTTAGTTATATCACTACAATATCTGCAGTGTGACAGTTTATAGTGATGTCTAGCACGGTGGCAACATGCCGCAGACATGTAGCATGATGTCCCACCAAGTCACATTATTCTGATACCAGGACGACAAGTCCTAACACTAACCTCTAAACTCTGAGCGACAAGCAAGGCAGCTGTTAGTACCATTTTTTAAAAGTCTTTGCTATGACTCAGCCGGGGATCGAACTCGCGACTTTTCGCAACCGAGGCGGACGCTCAAACCACTAGGCCACCGGAGCGGTTATTAAATGTTCAGATTGTTATTAATTGTAAACATGTTTTCTTCAGTTTGAGTTAAAGATACGGTAATGATTCTGATCTTAAGAAGGACCAGAAAATAAATTTTCCATTAAGTTTAAATATACATACATATATATATATATATATATATATATATATATATATATATATATATATATATATATATATATATATATATATATATATATATGTATGTGTGTGTGTGTGTGTGAGTATGTGTTCTTGTTTACATTGGGATTAATATTTAAGAATAACCAATGCTATTGTTGAGTTCAGATTTTAATTTCGATGAATTTATTTTTTCAAAATTGTATTCACTGAAATTACAAAGTGTTCAAAAATTTCTTTGACTAAAACATTGGCATATTAGCACATTCGAGACTTCAGGAATATCAACATATTTAATATTGGAATTTATTTGGTATAGTACTAGAATTCAAGTGAAACTTTATACATTTGGACTTCTGATTCATTTTTAGGACTATTTTGGAGTTGTACTAATAGTTCTTTTCAAATTTTCACTTTGGATTCTAGGGAAATAAATGATTTGTTGAATTTTACAAAACTTATTGTTTTTCGCTCTTTTCTGTTATATAGTTTAATACCATAGAGTCATAACATGATAATTATTAATTTTTTTTGTAGCAAACATTGTTATGACCGACAATGTTAGCAATCTTGAATATTTTCATATTCTCTGCTCACATGGCTTTAGGATAATTGGCTGATGTCATGAACTCTTTGTTGCCTCTAGATGGGTAACAAGAATGATGGACTGGGAATATTTGAAAATAAAAAATTTCGACAGATTATTATTTACACAGATATATATATATATATATATATATATATATATATATATATATATATATATATATATATATATATATATATATATATATATATATATATATATATATATATATATATATATATATATATATATATATTTAAGGAACTATGATGTGGTGAAAGAAGACCTGAAAAAAGTAAAATGTAAACAATCAGATAAGCCATTAAAAATATGTATTTTCGAGATGTTATATAAATTTTATTAGCTATTAAAGGTATTGACCACAAATATACTTTCACTATGGAAAGTTTGATAGCCGTTGGGTTACAAATATGCATGACATATGACCGTCAGTTAGGGAACTAAGATGGCTGAAATAACTTCAATATGTTACCCACATTAAATGACATTTTGATGTTTGGTACAGTACGCAAGGACCAATGTTTATGAAAAATGTAACGGTTTTCTTCATGCAATGCATTTATTATAATGCAGTTGATCAACACTGTCTCAGTGTCGTAATTTTTGCGCGTGAAATGAAATATTTCAATATAAATACCAATAGCCTTCATGACTACGTATCGTATATTGTGATTGGTTACCCATTAATAGATTGACCGTAAATGGAAATGAGTTCCGGGTTGGATGAGTGAACTGAATGCTGCATGCTTTCCGTGTGATACCCAATATATTATGTATATCTATGTTTGTGTTATGTATATCTATGTTCTGTGTTATGTATATCTATGTTCTGTGTTATATATATATCTACATTGGTGTTATGTCTATCTATGTTTTTATTATGTATATCTATGTTTTGTGTAATTCTTGGTACATGATTATATCTAAATTTTGTGTAATTTTGTTCATAACTGGAATTTGTAAAGATCATCTAAGCTATTAGATAGTTCAAGTTAATTTTGTGATAATTTCTAATTGGTTTATGGGGCAGGTGGATTCTTAGAAGAATAAAGCTATTTCTCGCTGGATGTGTTAAGTCACGTGGGTTCATTAACGATTTGGTATATTTGTAAAGTGTCACTAAGCGAGTAGTATCGTAATGCGTTTTCACCCCTTATGCATGTATCTAAGTTTGTGGAGCTGGACAATTTAGTCAGTACTATTTCGTATGATCTTGTTGTAACATTAGTCTTCATGCTATTTATGTGTTTAGATATTATATTGGAGGAAAAATGTTTTGGAATATTCATTGGAACTGTAAAAGCGCTCATTGGACTAAGATATTATTCTGGCGCTGTTATGAATTATTCAAGGTAGTTCTGGACGATGCCATTTTGATACATCAGGACTGTTGGCAAACCAGTATATTCGAGAATCTGAAAATTCATTCTGAGCATTCAATTATTATGGACTTGAATAGAATTTTTGTAAGATTATTTTGGCTCAATTCATAATACTGTAAGTTCCTCTAACATTTTTTCATTTTATAATTTGATTTTAAAATTATTTGTTAAGTTGTATACAACTTGTTGGTTTGTCTTCTTTCCGTTAGTTGATAACCATAAAGTTGTAACACTGGTACTATTGACTATCACCTTAAGGGTACTCAAAGCCGATGACTTTCAGTCAGTAAATTTCAACATTTAGGAGGGAACAATGATTGTTGCTTATCAAACTAGGTTTTACAAACAATATATTTCTTGCCTTTTTTATTAAAAGAAAACTTATTTTTTATCAACTCGTTATTATTGTTATGATATCAGACAATATTTATTATGTAATGTCTTTTATTCCCTTTTACAGAAGATTGGTAGGTGGGTAGTTATTAAGGTAGTCAAGGAAAGGTGAGTTGTTGGACGGGTAGTTATTAAGGTAGTCAAGGAAAGGTGAGTTGTTGGACAGATAGTTATTAAGGTAGTCAAGGAAAGTTTAGTTGTTGGACATGTAGTTAGTTATTAAGGTAGTCAAGGAAAGGTGAGTTGTTGGACAGGTAGTTATTAAGGTAGTCAAGGAAAGGTTAGTTGTTGGACTGGTAGTTATTAAGGTAGTCAAGGAAAGGTGAGTTGGACAGGTAGTTATTAATATAATCAAGGAAAGGTGAGTTGTTGGACAGGTAATTATTAAGGTAGTCAAGGAAAGGTGAGTTGTTGGACAGGTAGTTATATTTGACGGTAGATCAATACTGCACGTTTTATGGTGCAGCTTGAAAGCTCAAATGTTACAATTTATATTAAAAAAAAATGGAAGTTAAAAAGTTTTTTTTCATAAGTTTTCATAATTGAGCTCAGAAAGATGGCGAACATTTCAATGTAGAGATCACATTTCTTTTAAGTTTTATTCAACACGATAATTAAATTTAGCAATAACTGCTGAGAAAACGAAAAATAGATGTGAGCTATGTTATCCTTGATGAGATTCTGATTTAGATAATACTCTGACAACTTTTCGTTTTCTTGTTTATTTTTATTTGAAATTATGTATTTGATCGGATGAAATCTATATATTTTTATTTTTATTTGAAATTTTGTATTTGATTAGATGAAATCTATATGTTTATTTTTTAAACATTTCGTATTTGATTGGATGAATTCTATGTATGTTTAGTTTTATTTTAAATTTTGTAATTGATTGAATGAAATCTATGTATTTCTATTTTTATTTCAATTTTGTATTTGATTGTGAAATCTATGTATATTCTTTCATGCACTGCTTAAATTTTACTTTGGACTACATGAATGCAACGCTTACTAGAATTGATTCGATTTTTTTTTAACGTCGGTGACAAAAGTAAGTTTTTGTCAGTTCAGAAGTGTACTTCAGCATTAGTAAGTCACCAAGAGAATGCTTTTCAGAATTAGCTCGTTCATTTACAAAGGTCGTTTCCACTGTGTTTATCCCTTTAGGTCTTATAACATTTATCATGGTAACAAAATATTCTTCAGTTGTTTCCGTTGTGTTTTAAGAGCAAACATACATTGTATAGTGCCATCAGTTCCCTGGCTTTTCCAAGATTGGTTTGGAGACATTCTTCAAGTGAGTCTGCTAGAGTAGGATGAATTTCAAGGTTCTGTCAGATGGAATCAGTTTTTCACCGAAAAAAAACCAACAAATACCCCAGCCCATGTTTTAAAAAGATGAAGTCAATGCGAGAGGTCGTAATGACAATTTCATTCAAGGCAATGTTCAACAAAACATGCAAATAAATTGCTCAAATTATGAGGTACGCTACTTCAAATATAATTTTATATCTCGAAAGTTGATATTTGAACAATTTTTCTGGTCATATTGCTAGTAATCATAGGGTCATGAGTTTGATAGCCTCAGGCCCGGCCCTAGGGTAAGGCGAACGAGGCAATCGCCATGGGCCACGCGCTTCTACGCAATGCAATTTGTTTGTTTGGTGCATCGCGCTCATCACTTGCTGCCTTAGTTTCCGCATGCTGTCTTGGGCTCCGCACATCCTAGGGCCGGGACTGGATTGTCTCTCAACTCAGCCGGATAACCCACTTTGCTCATTTAAATTATATCTACAGTAATATTATAAACAAATCCCCAGCCATTTTCAGAAAAGTCGTTGCCATTGTTAGATGGCATTGTACTTTCGCTTTCGTCTTATTAGAAATGATTCTCTACCATTTTCAGTTTACTGCGTAGTCCGAGATTCCTCTGACCCTTGACACATCATTTTTTTATATTTGGTTTTTTATGTTGGGGTGTAGGGTGTGAGTCCATTCCCTATCAAAAAGTTGAAATTTGCCGACACTATTTGGTGTCGACATAGGGTACTCGCCAACTATCAGGCCTAGCAAACTTAACTTACCTTACATTGACCTATACTTACATTACATCGATAGGGAAATCACTAATCTTCTTAGAAATTACAAGCATAACACCGATTTTGTCTTTAATCAATTGTAAGACGAGACGAAACTACAGCCTTGATGAATTTTGACCTGGTTCGCACTATTTCATTGTAGTCACATGACCAACCAAATCTCGCGGCATGCATACATACATACATACATACATACATACATACATACATACATACATACATACATACATACATACATACATACATACATACATACATACATACATACATACATACATACATACACACAAGATGACGATGACGACGACGACGATGATGATGATGTTCATCCATTGCTGTCGATGAAGACCATTTAATGTCATCGAATTTACTGAGGGTGGATCCCGAGA